AAAAAAAAAGACAGATGCGTACATTTCTGAAATGTAGAGAAAACTCTGTTAGAAATTTATGTGAAATTCAAATGTGAAATTCAAATCACAGTGAAACTCCATTTATATGAAGGAAATTTTAATATCTGACTATTTGAACTTTAAGCTCTCATTTTTAGAAATTCGAAATTACGGAACAAACAATGAAATTACATGTAGATGGAGTTCCATATATACTTACTTATTTATCTTTCCATTTTAAACATTTGACGATTAAATCCCCATACAAATGTTTTTCTTCATTGTATATACGTATTCAACGAATCGAATCATATATTAGCGGAAATATAATATAATATTTGTACCTATAACTGTTAGAATTTGAGGCTCAATTTAGTTAGTCGAAATCATCGTAAAGATATTATCGCGTATCGACGAGTTTCTCGAGATTCTCTGCTACGCTTGCCTACTTTTCTTCTACGATTAAACTGCGACGTAATTTAATTTGTAATATAAAACTTTCGGCCAAAATGTATGTTCTTTCACAATCAAATTAATATTATTAAATTTTACAAGTGACAAATAACGTTGAACTCGTCGATGAGCATACTAATCCCGCGAAGAATCTCATCTAAATATCCGACGAACGAGTCCAACTCGAAATAAAGAGTTCATTAAATGGACGAAGACATTGTCGATTTCAACCCTAAAAGATATCCATCGTTAGGGTCGATATATTTCACCCTAAAGCAAATGTTTTCACGCAACTTTCTTTTTTTTTTTTTTTTTTTAAGATAGCATTTAAGGATTAATATCGAAATCGAGGGGGTGACGTTTACGCGCGTCCCACCCCCCTCCGCGATTAAATTAGTCAATCGTGCGCGAGGTGTACCAAGCGGATCGTAGAAAAGAGTACCGTTTTAATTTTGATACATAGTATACATAGAGATCTATATGCAAAAATCGATATAAATATAATATATATACATATGTGCGTGCGTGTGTATGTAAATCGTACGACGATTGTGATTTCACCGAGGTTACCGAGTTATACGTATTTACTGTTTAGCCAACAAACAGCGGCGCCTTAAGCCGATCAAGCTATCAAGCGCTCGTTACCTTTTAGACCCGTTAGCTCGTAAGTTTGTCCATCCACGCTCAGTTTTGTCTTCTTTTTTTTTTTTCTTCTTCTTTTATCCGTTTTTGTTTCTTTTTTTTTCACATACATAGTCAAATTGCCGATCAATCGAATCGAATCGAATCGAATCGAAAGGATCGTCGTCGCTTCGAGATCAACATCCCTTTCTAATGTTTAATTATTCATCTTTCGTTTTTAAAGATTATTATTGCATCGAGTGAAAAATGCTCGTCGATGATCTCGTTGCGACGATAAAATTATTCGTTCTTTTTTTTGCGAATGATTTTATCGTTCGTCGATCCTTTTTTTTTTTTTTTTTTTTTACTCCTAAAAAGAAACATACACTGTTTAACCCTGTAGTCGCGCGTCCTGTAGAATATAGTGGTGACTGTATATATGTTTATATGTAATATTCGAATTAAAAAAAAAATATATATATATATACATTGATGTACACAAAGAGAGAAACGAACTTACACGTGGAAATTCATTTTAAAGAAACTCTCATCGTACTTGCGTTTACTTTCTCCGCTCTCTCACCGCGTTCTTGCCCGCGTCATACCTCTCTCAATCTTCCATTAAACTCCCCATTTTTGTATCCCTACGAGTTTTTCGGTGATAGTGCAAACATGTTGTTAAAAGAAAGTCGCCTAGATTCCGAGAATGGTTCAAGAGGATGAAGAAGTTTTAATTGATCGAAATCCAGTTATCTTTGTTGGAGAAATGTAATATTTATTTTATTATTATATTATTATTAGTGTTACAAAATTACTCGTTTATCTTTTTTTTTTTTTTTTTTAATACTTAAAATACTTTCTAATATTTTAAATACCATTACCATGCATCATTTTGTGAAACAATAGTTTAGTTATATAGTATATTTTACCAGTCAGAAATTCAAGTTCTTCTTCAAAGATGATCGCGTCTCCAGAAAATCAACGTTTCTATCCTCTACCGTATGAAAAAGGATACATTAACGTGAGAAACGGTAAGATATAACCAGGGTCATAGGTACGTGAGAACCAGAACAAACGGTGAATTAGAGAAAAACGTGACCACATGGTCAAACGGAAATTCTAGATTTTTCTTCTGTAAGTCCAATGATCTTGATTTTGATTTTTCTATCCTTCACTCATAATTATTCCGAAATATATTTCATTAATATTTAAAAAAAATAATATTTGGGAAAGGTTCGTTGGTTTTTCGATGAAGTTAAAAAATTTGAGAAAGATGTGGATCAACGGGCTTAATGGAACGATACTGATCTATAAATAAAGACTCACTCGTTTCAGTATCAGCCAAACTTGGATTGGAGGTGATCATACATCGAACGAACAGGGAGACTAAGCCATTTCAAGCTAAGTAACTTCTTGGCCTCGTCGAGGATATGACTTTGACCCACATATTGGTAAAGTATCAGACTATAATAGAATTCCAATTGTTTTAATCAAAATGATGTTTAAAATATTCCTCTGGAAGAAACAATCTTATTTAGTATTTGCTGTCTTTGATGGAAAAGTAGTTTAGTAAAAACTGAATATAATAATAAAAGGATAAAATAAAATTGCATTTATTGAATAAGCTATTGATATGAATATTTAATTAAAATCAATTTTCTAATGTAAATGCAAAAATGTTTAAATTCACATAATCTTGAATAAAACACAACCTTGATAATGATGACAATAAAGATGATCATATGTAACTTTAGTGAGTTTGGTGAATCAACGACTATGAACAACATCTTCTGTCTTCAGAATTGACAAGAATGTATTATCTATTTTAAGCATTTATTATAAAATCTAAAGAAAAAATTGCGATTGATTACGATGTATGTATATTTATTGAACACAATATCAATTGTTATTAATAAATTGAATCTTTCAAAAAATTCCTTTTTATAAATTATCAATAATAAATACTTTTATAGAAGTATATATAAATTTATTTACAAATATTTTTTTAAAAAATTGACGTATATAAAAATAAAAATGAATTAAATTTCTGATTAAAACAATTTCGAAAAATATAGATATATTTTTCTTATATCTACAACTATTGTCTTTAATGTTCTTGCATTTATTGCATACAATATTCAAAAATTATTGATAATATTATTTCCAAGGAATTGATTCCAATAACCATTTCTGATCCATGTTTTTTGTACAAGCTGCTATCACAGGACCTTCTTCATTATTTGATTGTAAGCACATTCCAGAAGATAAATGTAAAAATGTCTGTGCCTTAAAAAAGAAATAAATTTATTTTATTTTTTTTTTTTAATTTATAAACGAGAAAAATAAATACAAATACACAACATACTTGTTTATCATATTGCCATTTTTGTCTAATATGACTGTTACATGCCATTATTTTAACCTTTGGTGTCGTTTGATGTGTATCATTCTCAGGTGCATCTAAACAAACGCTTTCATCAGTCATTATAATTCCATCCGCTGTCATCACAAACATTTGATTAAGTAATGGCCGTGGAACACATGAATGAAGGATTGCATATCCTGATGGTTGAGAATATGTTCCTTTCGCAGATGGTCGCATAATGCATTTCTTTGATAATATATGCACAATCTAATATATCAATAATTAATAACTTGATTTATCAATTAAATTCATTATTTAATAATAATTTTAAATTTAAATTTACCCGTCCAAAAAAACGATCATCTTTAGGAAAGAAATGTTCTGGCCATATATTATCTAAATACCACTCGAAATTTTTGCATTGTAATTTTTTACGTAATTCCAATCTAGATCGAATTGTTTGCTTATCTTTTAATCTAGCTGCCTCTAAAATAAAAAATACATTATTTAATATATTACGAAACTTAATATATTAATAAAAGCATCTTAACTAAAATTTAATTACCTGCATTAAATTTAAAATAAAATTCTGCCCATTCATCCATCCAAACCAAAGCTACCCTAGCGAGATTTCCGTATAAAATCTCTCCAACACCACCTGGGAATGTATATGGTGATGATTTTCGAAAAAGATGTCCTACATGAGAGCATGGAGCTATTTCAATGCTGCCACCGCATTGCCATACTCGAAATGATAATTCCAAATTTTCACCGCCCCAAATTTTCATTTGATTATCGTAACTACCTAATTCAAAAAAATAATCTCGATTCATGGAAAATAATCCTCCAGCCATAGCAGGTGTTCTAAATGGTTCAACAATGTTTTCGCGTCTTTCTTTCAACAGTCGGCCGTTTAACGTTAGCCATCGAAAATGCAAATCCCAATTAAATGCTCCCCAGTGCAATTCAAAAGATCTAAAATATTATTGACTATAATTTTATCTTATCATATCATATCAATTTTATCTTATAATTTGATTATTAAAAAATTATTAAAAAATGATAAATAATTATATTTTACCGAGTATAACTAAAAGTATCGTCATTTATTATATCGATAACAGGAGATACTACTCGAGTTCTATTCTTGGCCACTGCTTCAAGCAAGGGTTCCAACCATCCTGAAAAATATATAAACGTTATAACAATATTTTAGTTTTATTTGTTATTATATATATATGTATAATAAAGTGGTTATTATAAAATTAAAACAAGAGCTTACCTACCAACCGTGCATTCGCAGTGTGCGTCAAGAAATGTGAGAACTTCGCCTTTAGCTTTATTGGCACCTAAAAGTCTTGCATTCACTAGACCTATACGTTTTTTAGAACGAAGAACTTTAGTAGAAACTTGTAAATTCTTTACATGTTCATCTAACGCATCCTTCAAAAAATCTAATAAACAAAAAAATAAAAATAAATTGAATGCATATAAAAATAAAATATAAATAATGGATGTATTTTTTTTTACCTCTATCACTATTATCATCAACAAGAATAATTTCTTCTAATAATTGTGTTGGAGATCTATCAATTACACTATATACAGTCCTCAATAATGTACTCCAAGCTTCATTATGAAAAACGATAATTATTGATGTTTTGGGTAAATTACCTAAATTCATATATCGTGTTATGCATCTGCAATCGATAAATTATCTATTACTGATATATCATCGATATTGAAAACGTCGATAAGGTAAATACCGATAAATATATTACCCTTTTCTTCTAACATCCGGTAAAGTGCGATTTAATGGTATTCTATCACTAGCCATCAAGTTAAATCGGTTAATTTGAAAAAGTTGTTGCATTTTGTAAAAATCTTTCGCTGGTACAATAACTGGATTGCCATTCTTTCCTTCAAATGGTCGCGGATTAAACATATTTTTGTTAATAAGATCTGTTAATGAATAACAAAAAGAATATTATATAAATAAATTCACAGTCATATATAATTTATAATTTTCGAGATATACCTTTCGTAATGTTTGGAGTTTTCATTGGATCCACAGAATCTCCGATATAATGTCCTACTACTACGTGTATTCCTTTACGATCTATGTAATCTTTTTGATTGTCTAACAATCTCAAAATAAAGAAAGAAATAAAAAATATAATTAAGTCAAATTTATTTATATTTAAAGTGATTTCCTTATATTTTTAATTATAGATCTTTAATTTTATAGTTACCTACCGAAGAGAAATATAATCATTGCGAATATTTTTGTCATCCTTTTTCCATGACCAAATAAAAAAAATACTCATCAACAGAAAAATTGAAAAAATAATTGACCATGTCCGACATGATCTTCTCAATCGCGGCCACATTATGATCTTTATTAAAAAGAATGTTGAACTTAATTTAATTTAAAAATAATTTTATTTATCTCATCATGGAAAGAAATCACTGTTATCGTTGAAGACGAATTTCCGTTATTTTTTGCTTCTCATTCCGGTTCATCGTAAGAGATTTCGAGATCTACCTTAAACTAGAAAAAATTATAAAAATTTGGATAAATATTAATATATATTATTATATTAGTATATTCAAATTTTTATAAAAAAAATTTATCATAATGAAACTAAAAATAAGACAAAAATATAATAAAGTCTTTAAAATTTTTCTAATTAATTTTGTATTTGCAAATATTTACCTGAATTTGTATTAAAATTGCAATATAGATTTTAATGATGCACACAAAATGCTTATATAGAATAATGTCAGATGTATTTCACAAATAAGCACAAGGACAAGAAAATATTTTTTTTGTTATTGTTTTATGATGAATATATTATTTTTTAATATGAAATTACTGTTTTACATTAGATAAATATTTTTTTTACTTCATAATTTCTAATAAAAACTCAAATTAAAATCTTTCACAGAAATCAATGCATCCACTCTACCACACTTTCAGTAACTGGAATAAACTCCAAGACAGGACGCTATGAATAAGACAGTGCTGTATCTAAACACTTTATAACCTCATACTTGTAATTAAATGAAATTTTATTAAAAAAATTATTTATATATATTTATGATATTATTATAGAATTAGATATATTATATAAGAATAAAGAAAATTTTATATAGATTATTTTTTATATACAAGAATTATTTCATATATAATATATGTTATCAAATATTTTGTATTCCTGTGTTTGTTGAATATACATAAATAAAATAAATATAAATCAGATAAAACATTTTTAAATTAAATATCTTTATATTTTATTAATTTTATTTAATTTTTTAATAAAAAACAAACTATAAGAAAGGAAAATTGTTGATTTAAATAATAATTATATAAGTATAATCAATATTAATAATAGATTAATATGATTCTTAGTATATTTTTGATGATCATTGTTAATAAAATACGTATTTAAATATATTTAAGAAAATTTCACGATGTTCAGAATTATTTTATTTATCTAATATTCGTTTTCTTTTATACATATGTACAATTGGAAACTGAAGTTATTTTATAATTATTATCAAAAATAAATAATTAAAAATACTTTAAGTAGAATATTCTTCTTCTTTCTTTGTGATATTCCATGAAAATAGATCATTTGAGTAAAATAATTACGAATATCAAATACCATATTAATATATTACGAATACCAAAGAGGTCAGCACTATTCTCAACGTATGGTTCGCCACGTTGGAAGAAGTTGACGGGTGACTACTGCTTGTTTGACGTTAGGGGTTTATTTCTATAAAATATACTTGATTCAATATATTCAGGTAAAAAACTATTATTTCGGTAAATTATATACTTGTTGCTTTATCTAAAATAAATTTTTACAATGAAAACGTATACGTGTTATATTTTAATAGTAGTAAGATACTGAACCTGCGAATCGGATGTTAATGCATTTTTAATATTATTATAATGTTTATAAAGTTTTTTTTTTGCAAGTTATTAATTTAAAGACTACATATATTAATACATATTCATACATGTTTATGTAAAATAAATTATATGATTTTTAAATGTATTTTAAAATTCGTTTGTTAACATTTTTCCATAATTTTTTTTATTACAATATAAAAATTTTTAAAAATTATACAATATATATAGATATATTGTAAAATATTAAAAAATTAAATATTTTCTAATTTCTTATAGATATTTTTTATCGAAAATATATAAATAATTTATTTCAAGGAATCAAGAATGAAGATAAAAGAATTATTGAAGACAGTTAATGTAGCATGGTCACCACCTGCTCAATATCCCATATTACTGGCTGCTGGAACTGCAGCTCAACAACTTGATGCAAGTTTTAATACATCTGCTAGTTTGGATTTATATTCTTTAAATTTACAACAACCTGGATATGATTTAGAACTTAAAACTAGTGTTGCAAGTGATCATAGGTAGGAGACAAATTTTGTTTATATATACATATATATCATTAAATAATAAATTTTATACATCTATGAAAATTGTAGATTTCACAAAATAATATGGGGTTCATATGGTAACAATCCTGCTGGTATAATTGTTGGAGGTTGTGACTATGGCATGATAAAAATTTATTCTGCTGCTAAAATGTTGGCCAATGATAATAATTATTTAATAAGTAGTCCAGATAGACATACAGGTCCAGTTAGAGCACTTGATTTTAATCCATTTCAAGCGAATTTATTAGCAACAGGAGCAACAGAAAGCGAAATTTATATATGGGATATTCTTAATACAAATACCCCAATGACACCTGGATCTAGAAGTCAACCATTAGAAGATGTACAACATATTGCTTGGAATAAGCAAGGTAATTTTATAATTTATAATTAATATAATTAATTAATAAATATATCAATATTTTTAATTTTTATTTTCATTGATAGTCCAACATATTCTTGCTTCCACATTTTCACAACGTTGTATTATATGGGATTTAAGAAAAAATGAACCTATTATCAAATTAACAGATGCAAATTCAAAGGTAACTTGTACTATGTATTTTATCTATATTTTGCTTATATAACATCATGATTTTTATATTTTATATGCAAATATAGGTAAGATGGAAAGTAGTACAATGGCATCCAGATGTTGCAACACAATTATGTTTAGCATCAGAAGATGATCAAACTCCTATAATTGAATTATGGGATTTAAGATTTGCAACATCACCTTTGAAAACATTTCAAAATCATCAACGTGGAGTTCTATCAATTGCATGGAATTTACATGATCCAGATTTGCTCTTAAGTTGTGCCAAAGATAACAGAATATTATGTTGGAATCCTAATTCAGATATACCAGTATGTTTAGTATTAGTGTTTAGTATATTTATAAATGGATTCATAATTGACTTTTAAAATTCATGTATATTATTTATTTTAATATATAGAATGGGGAAGTAATTTGTGAATTAGCACAAACAAATCAATGGAATTTTGATGTCTCATGGTGTCCAAGACATCCAGGATTAGTTGTGGGAACTAGTTTTGATGGACATGCAGCAGTTTACTCTTTATTAGGAGGACAACAACAAAAGTCTGTAGAAACATCCAATAAAATTGTAGATTCTTTCCCTGGAATGGATCCTTTCACACATCCACCTCCTCCAGTACATATTGAACCAACAGTTATTTTGACGAAAGCTCCAAAATGGCTAAAAAGACCATTTGGAGCATCTTTTGGAGTAAGAATCTATTTTTAAATATGTAATGTTAATTTAATTAATTTTCATATATTATAGTATCAAATTTATATAACAGATAAAATTTTTTTAGTTTGGTGGTAAATTGATAATTTTTGAAAATGGATCTGTAGATCCTAATCTACCTCCAAACTCAAACAGAAAAGTAATCATATCACAAGTAGTCACACAACCAGATTTAATTCAACGTTCAAATGAATTGGAAGAAGTTCTCAAAAGTGAGCAATATAATGATTATTGTAAAGGAAAGGTTGAAAGTACTACTGATATATATAGAAAAAAGATATGGAATTGCGTGGCTGCATATTTTGGTGAAAATGTGACAAAAGACATATTGGATTTACTTGGTTACAATGTGGATGCAATGAATAATAAATTAAATCAATTTATTTCGCAAGAAGATATTAATAATATTACAGAAGGAATCGGTAATTTAAATAATGTAAGTTTTATTTTAATGTAAATTTTATCATATTTAAAGAAATTCTATACAATATTAATTATATAATAAGATATATGATTATTTAGGTACTTAATGGAAGTGCTATTGATGGAACTACAGCGTTTGATGCTATTGCACAAGAATCTAAAAAAGCAACAATAACTAATCTAAAAAATAAAAAACTTCAAATTAATGTATCTGATGGTAATATTAAATAAATTTAAATTTATTTTCAAATTTATTAATTATATATTTAAAAATAAAAATAAATTCTTTTTTTATTTTTATTTTATTTTTATTGAATTTAATATTAGAATTTTGTTTTCGTTATTTCAGATGAGGATGGGCTTATCACTCAAGCGATCCTCTTAGGAAATATAGAAGCTGCAGTGTCATTATGTTTTGCAAATAAAAGGTACGCAGATGCGGTCATTCTTTCAATGGCTGCTGGACCTGATTTGTTAGCACGTACCCAGTACAGATACTTTTCAGAACATTCTGGAGCTCTCAATTCTCTTATCAATTCGCTAGTTAGTGAAAATTGGGCTGAAATTGTTAACAATGCTGATATAAATTGTTGGAAAGAAGTATTGATTGGAATATTTACTCATTCCAATCCACAAGAACGATCTGCTTTATGCGGTATATATTTTATTATAAAATATATATAATAATTTAACTTTTGTAATAAATAAAAATTCTTAAATTTTACAGATATGCTTGGGGATCGTTTGGCATCATCCGATAATGTAACGCTTAAAGAACAAGCTCAGATTTGCTATATTTGTTCTGGCAATTTGAGTAAACTGGTAGAATCTTCCGACGTTGAAATTCAAGAAATAGTAGAGTTAATAGTTATAATGCAAAAAGCTTTAGAAATGCAAGGTATTAGAGATATACAAATAGAAGGAAAAATCGCAAATATTTTATCTCGTTATGCTGAAATGTTAGCAGCCGAAGGAGATCTCGATGCTGCATTGAATTATCTAGGAAATAGTCAAGATGAAAAAATCGTAATGTTGAAAGATCGTTTATGCAGAGCTTTGGGTTATATTGAAGAATCAAAAATTATGCCAAAAGGACCAACAATGCAAAATTATTATGATCGAACAAGAAGATCTTTACAAGGTGTACAAAATCCATTATCTGGAGGACCAACAAGACCCTTTTTTGATTCAAATATTGCTCCTACAAAACAATCCTTTATACCACCTCCAAATCAATTTAATACTCAACAACAACAACAATCATTTGGAATACCACCTTCACTTCAACCACTTCAACCACTTCAACCACTTCAGCCAACCTATGCAAGTCAATCTATAACTCAACCTATGCAATCTACACAATCTATGCAGTCTATGCAACCTATGTTATATGATCAAACATCGCAATCTTACACTTCAACATCTATTTCTCAATCACTTCCACCACCACCTCCTTCAAATACATCAAGTGGAGTTGGATCTCGACCTCCTAGCGTTGGACCTCAAGCGAGATCAAAATATATAATAGATCCATCTGTAAAATCTACTTCAACATATGGACAAAGTGGTTTTCCTCAACAAGCATCTCCATATAATAATCAACAAATTCCTCCAGTACCAGGCTATTCTTCATCAAATATTTATCAACCTCAAGTTCCTATATCAACAAACACATTCCCCGGACAAAATCTTATATCTA